AATATAGTATAGAAAGTGTCCCCTGGGTGCTTGTGGCTGTTGTTATGGCCAGTTCTGGTGGAGTCAAGGGCCCTGCCACGGGACCTGGCTGGCATTCCATGGGGCAGGCAGTGAGGGAGAGGCTTCCCCTGGCTCACCAGTGATGCTCTTCAGCAGTGCTGCTGCTCTCAGCATTTTCCTGAGGGCTCGTGGAAGGACATGCAACCCAATGTTTTCTCATGTGTCCTAATGAGTGTAAAAGCAGCCCCAGGCCCCAAGGCTCTTCCCTCTCTTCCCCTCTTGTATCTGTGCCCAGACATGAAACGTGATTATGCTTTTTATGTCATGGATGAAACGCTGATGTTTAATCCTTCTAACTCTGATAAAACTCTATGGATTTGCTCTCTGTACCCATCTCCAAATGCCTGCGGGATCCCCCTTGGCATGAGAGCCCAGTTCTTCCCTTCTCCCTCCCTGCACCCTGGCTACCTGGATCTGGGGTCTTCGTGTAACTGTCATTTTCCATGATGCCATGCTGGGTGGTGTATTCTGCTGTGCTGGGTTCTGGTGTGGTGAGTGCAGCTTTTCTGGTGACTGTAAGTGAAAATGGATAAATTTAGCATGTAGGTAAATGCAAGAAAGCATCTCTCTTCTGCCTTTCTGCTCTCCCACCCCTACCAGGGCAAGGAGGGTCTCTTGGAGCCAGTAAGAGCCTGCAGGCTCCTTATTTCCTGCTGTCTGCCACCATCCCCAGAAAGCCTGAGCACCCTGAATTTTGTAACCTAAGTGTGGTGAGGAAGGAGGGAATGGTGGTGGGAATGGAGAGATGATGCTGGGTCTGCCCGACCCCCTTGGCCCTTGAACAGGAGCAATACCACAAGGAGAGCTGTCAAGCTGGGAGCCTGTGGCAGGAGTACCAGTGCCATGGGCATAAGATGCCTTGGGCAAGCAAGCAAAATGCACCAACATCCTCCCTGTCAGTCTGACACTCCATCTCCAGGTGCTGTCCCTGCTGGAGATGTATCATGCTGTTGTGAATCCTGACCTTCATCTCGTACCTCTGCCCTTGGACCCACGTGCAGCCTGCAGAATAGAAATCCTTGTTGGAACCACTTTGGAAGACCCAGTGGTCCTTCTGGGCAAACGTCCTTCCTTGCCCATTGGGTATGAGGTAAAATGCAAGGGAGGATTGTGCTGTCTGCATAACTTGTATGTTTTGCTGGATTCCTTGTGCATGGAGAGTGCTCAGCAAAGAGCCACGCAGGCTTTGAAGGTGAGTGCTCCCCTTGCAGATTCCTTCTCAGGGATGTTACAAATGCCAAGCTACAGAGCACACCTCAAATCAGGCATTTTGCTTTGATTTCCCCCCCTTTAACTATTTAGCCCAATTGTTTGGATTCAGTGGAAGGGATTTCCTGCCCCTCCCAGTGAAGGGTCTGCCCATCCCTGTGTCCATACTCACAGAGTGCCAGAGCGAGCAGGAGGAGCAGGGCAGCAGACCTGGCCATCCTCTCCTGGGGGTGGCTGTGCTTGGGGACCAGTGCAGTGCAGCTGAGATGATCTTTCTGGCTTGACTTGGGAGGGTGTGTCGCTCTTTAGGGTGGATGTGATATCATCAGGACCCTCCTTATCAGTTCTTAACAGTGCCTCAACTCTTCGCCTTCATGACTTCCCTAGAGATCCAGCCTGATGCTGCTCATGCCTGAGGTGGGATCAGTCACCACAGCCTGCTGTCCCCCAGCAGCAGCTCCACAGCAGCTCCAGCTCCCCAGCAGTCACGGACACTCCAGGGTGTGTTTCTTGGCAGGGATTCTGCATCCTTCACTTGAGCACACTCAAGGGGTCTTGTGCAGATGGAAGATCCTACAGTATTTTACTTTCCAGCAATTGATACACAGGAATTTCATGATCCATATGGATCGTTAATCTCCAAGCACACACATTGCTGGCACAGAGCAGGTTCATCAGCTGCTCAGTTGTTCTCTTTGCAATTCTTCTTTGGTCAATTCTGCTTTACAATACCAAAAGCCTCTACGTGCAAGGCAGGTGTTCTGTGAGCTGACAAGAGTGCCTCATCCTGGCGTATGATTTGCATTTTCTTTGGTTTTCAACTCGTGGTTCTCTCCTCTAACCACAGGGGCTTCCACTCTTCCTAAACCCCCATGTAGACTTCAACAGAGAGGGCCCTTGCTGCTGCCTCTGGGTGATCACTTAAACATGGGGATGGTTGATTCTCCCTGGAGCTTTGCACATAGAGTAACAACAGTTTCATCAGAGTGTGAGGCACTGGGCTGGTTTCTTATTTATTTCTTACCTCTTGGCTTTCCTGTTGATTGTTTTCCTGTGTGAGGTTGTCTTTTCTACTCCCCCTTTGCAGAGAAAGCTCCTTTTTCCTGGGTCTGTCAGAAACCAGGTGCTGCTGCCTTTGCTGCCATTGGTATTGGGGCTGTTACTCAGAGCTGAGTTATGGAAAATGGTTGAGGGACTGGGTTTATTTCACTGGAGGTGACAGCCTGTTTTTGAGTGTTAGGGTACCAAGATGTGTGAATTTCACTGGTAGTGTGTGAACTGTGCCCTGCAGGGTGTGGGTTGAGGGATCAGTGTGAAGATGCCTTGAGGGAGGCAGGAGCTATCCCGGAGCCTCCCATGTTTAGCATTGGGCTTAAAAAATACCAGCTGTGTTCTGTGATTCTGAACTACACGTCCAAATTGGAAGATTCTACTGTGCAGTGGATTTTGAATTTTATTCTGGGGGATAATTACTGCTATCAGAGTTGTAATCTGTTTTGGATGCCAATTTTGTTTGCAAATGCAGGCTGCTGAAAAATACCAACAAACAACACCCCCAAAACAGACTCAAAACCTGAAAACCCTCACATATCCTGCCTCAAGTTCTTCATCTGCTGGAAGAGGATTTAGTAATGGGGGTTAGTACCAGACCAGAAGGAGCATTGCCTGGCAGCCTGGGTTACAGGAATGCAGTGTGAGGTAGACCTAAGCTCTTGTGTATGTGAAAAGCCAGGATAAAATGACTGAGAAGAGTGAGGAAAGAGCTGTAGCAAAGGCTACCAGTGAGGTAGTGATGTTCCTACTTCTTGTAAACTGTTTTGCAGAAACACTTTGAGTTAAGGCATTTGATATGAAAACTTTATCTCAAAGGAAGTCAGTAAGAAACTCTGGGGTAAGCCAATAACAAGATTGATCTCATAGGAGAGAGAGAGAGAGAAAAGTCTTTCGATATGCACGGTTAGAGCTGATGCTAGGAGGAGACCAGACTCTGTGGTCAACACTGTTTATTAAAATGGGGCTAAAGGCTAGAACTAGTCTGCCCAGAAACAGGTTGGTGAGTAGATCTGCTTCATGTTGCCAAAGTGCAGCTGCACATTGGCGAGGAGGCTGACTGTGATGGGGCAGAGCCTGGCATTGCAGGTGCAGTGAGACCCTTGTTACTCCCCAGCGTGGCACCTACGGTTTGGAAAAGGTCACCCTTAATTGGATGTGTCTTAGTGTTTCTTAATGTCTGTGAATTCATAGACATTTTAATGTTGAGGTTTTTCCATTAATTTTTTTCTTCATAGGGTGTGTAGGTCCATGTTGTTGTCATTCAGTATTTGCCTGCAGTTGTTTAGATCCCCTGACCTAGTTCCTAATTATTTTTTTCATTAAGCATTAAAAAACTAAGTTTGTAAGAACTTTGTTTCTCTCTGAAGTTCTCTCTTTCCCAGCCTGTTTGCAGAGGAGGAGACTAGCAAAGGATTCCTTTCATTCTTTTTTCCTCAGACTTCTATCAGTCCCGGGACAACTTATCAGAGTACCCACAGGCTCTTTATCTTATCCACCTTCACAGCACCTTCCTGGGATGGAGGAGTGTTACTGGGCCCATCTGCAAATCCCTTGGAAGATACTGTTAGATGATTTGAGGCTGAGGGAAGCTGGAAGTTGAACTCTGGCATCCTAAAGCTGAGGCCGGTACATAAATTACTGCCTTTTCCCTTACCCAAGACTCTCTCAAACCCTTGTTTATTATCCTTGTGAAGGATTTCAGCTTTTGTGAGGCTAGGAAATGGAGAAATAAATAAACATCATTGTTTCAGACTTGAATAATTTGATTTTTTTCTCAGTTCTTGATTTCCAAGTGTAATAAGGAAATGTTTAGGTCAAATACAGATGTGAAAAAACTAGAACTGACTGTAGTCAATCAACATGTCCCAAAACAACCAAGATGTTAAAACTTCTGCTTAATCAAACTTGTGACAAAGACTAATTTTTTTATTTTACTACTCAGTAATTTCTTTCAGGAAGAAAGCAAATCCCACCTTCCTTGCTCAGGCCAAGCTCC